CAATATTAGACTCTATACGTGATGGTGTTGAAGGTGCTGAGATTGGTCGATCAGAATTAATCAATCGTCAAGATATACACAATATTCGCCACCAATATAATATTGAGGGCATCCAGTATCACTCTAATGATCATTCAAGTGTACAGTTATGGGTGGATAATTTACAAAGTGATAGTGAAGACGAATCTGTTGTACTTTTATTCAAAGAGCAAGGTGTTGAGCAAAGCAATGATTTAAATGACTTTTCAGTAAGTGATTTTGCTCTGGGAATTCAAACCTGTTTTCAGAAGGACATGCTAATCAGATTTGGCAAAGAAGCAATTTGTATTGATAGCACACATGGAACAAACATCTATGACTTTTATCTTATCACTGTGCTTGTGTTAGATGATTATAAAGAAGGTATCCCTGTTGCTTGGCTTATTTCAAACAGGGAAGATGCTGCTGTACTAAACCAGTTTTTTTCAAAATTGAAAGTCCGATGTGGTGATATAAGCACCGATGTGTTTATGAGTGATGACGCAGACAATTTTTTTAATGGTTGGAAAGGTGTTTTCACGGTAAGTAACACCAGGAAACTTATCTGTTCCTGGCATGTAGACAGAAGCTGGAGAAAAGGTCTGCATACACACATTTCTGTGAAGTCCAAGCAAGCTGAAGTATACCACCATTTACGAGTATTGCTTAGTGAAACTAGTGAAGCAGTGTTTAGGCAAAGGTTGCAGCAGTTTTTATCTTGGTTGAGAAATGATGCAGACCTGGTGACTTTTCTTCAATACTTCGAAGGTAATTACATGCAACGTATAAAACAGTGGGCTCCATGCTATAGGTCATCTACAACTGTTAATACGAATATGGCATTGGAATCTTTTCACCGAGTTTTGAAAGTCTGTTACCTTCAAAAGAAGCAGAATCGTAGAATTGATTACTTATTGCATATATTGTTGAAAATATCAAGAGACAAGGTTTTTGATAGACTTCAAAAGACCCAGAAAGGCAAGATTTCTCATCGAATATCTGAAATCAACAAACGTCACCGCACAGCACAGAGTATGGATCCTGCCAATTGTATCATTTCAAAGAATGAAACAAGTTGGAAAATAAAACCTGAGTCTACTTCCCAGCAACAGTGCTACAGAGTTGAGAAAGTTTCTAATAATGCATGCTCATGTAAAGTACGTTGCAACAAATGTGACATTTGCATTTGCTCCTACTCCTGTACGTGTATAGATTACCTTATTCACGCTACTATATGTAAGCATATTCATCTAGTGAATATTTTCAATCACCTTGATTTAGAGCGGCAAACTAAATCCAGTGGAACAAGTTCTACTACTACATCTGCTGCTACGCTATCATCAGATAACAATGAGTCAACTAATAACGAGAATATTGAATCAGGTTCTACATCAGCTATACAAGCTAGTGTCACTCTTAAGTCATCCTCATCAATTGATGTGTTATCAGTATCTGCTATGCTGTCATCAGATAACAATGAGTCAACTAGCATGGAACATATTGAATCAGGTTCTACATCAGTTATACCAGCTAGTATCACTCTTGAGTCATCCTCATCAATTGATGTGTCATCATTGCAGTATTTAACGCACCAAATAAGTAACCAGCAGCATTCAGACGATCTTCTTCTTGTAAAGGAACATGCAATACAAGCATGTAAAAAAATTGAGTTAAAAATACGTAGCAGTGAGAAGGTTGAAGCAGTAAAGGCTTGTGCACAGCACTTAAATCATGCATTGACTATGATTTCATCATATGACAAGCATAAACGTTCTGTTTTGCCCCAGAAAAGGAAACTAGCTCCCAATACTCTTATTGAGCCACAGCTTCGATTTGTTTCAACCAAGAAAAAGCGACAAAAAGCAACACGGTTAGCA